CACGCACTTTAAGAGGAAAGGGTGATTCCATCCACTATTCTTCTCTTTCCAGGCCTGGGAAGCACACCGTTCATCCAACCATCCATCTATCTATCCAACCATCCATCCATCCATCCATCCCTCCATCCATCCATCCATCCCTCCCTCCATCCATCCAGTGTTGGTCCATCTAGCATCCATCATCCTCCCCCTCCTCTTTCCCATGGTAATGGAAGCCCTGCTTTGTGCTAAGCACTGCCCCAGATGCTAAAATTAAATCCTATTACCCATAAATAAATCACATTGCCCATCTTCTGGGACTCACGCCTTTCAGCAGGAGGGAAGTATGTTCTCTGACTCTCTTTCCCCTCAGGCCCCAGACAGCAAAGTGGCACCTACCTGACTCGGCCACTTCAGAAATGGGCACCCCCTGCTCTTGCGACATGAAGCCCAGGATGGAGAAGACAACAAACCCAGCCACAAAGCTGGTGGCACTGTTCAGGAAGCAGAGGGCGACGCAGTCCCTGTGGGAGTGGGGCAAGGGCAGATAGGAACGGCGAGGAAAAGAGAGGAGGAGAGGGCAACAGACAGCGAGAGGGGACCGAGGAGAGAGAAGGGGAAGGCAAGGGAGGCACAGAGGAGGGGAGGAAGGGAAGCGAGGATGGGAAGAAGATAGTGGAAGAAAAAGACAAAAATTGGGTGGCAGACAACAAAGAGAGAAGTGAGAGAGAAAAGGAATAAGACAGACACTTAGTCTGGGAACTGAACCCACCAGGTCAGTTTGACACAACTTATAATGAGCCCAGCGATGATGGGTCTTTGTCCAGAGCCCACCCCCAGGCCCCTCGCCCTCCTTCGCCCCACCCCGGCCCATGCTGTTCTCACTTGTAGCAGTTGTTGTGGTACTTGTTGTAGCTGCCCAGGGCTGTCAGGCACCCCTGGCAGATGGCGAAGGAGAAGAAGATCTGGGTGCCCGCATCCATCCACACCTACACAAAACCCCAAGAAAGAGGTAGAGGAAGCCCCCAGGGCCCAGAGCCAGGGTGACCCGAGATCCAGACCCATCCCCTGCAGCACCAGCCTGGCCCTTCAGTGCTCCCTGAGCGCTTCCCTCCTGCGTCCCAAGTCTCCATGAGTACGCCCTCCTGTCTCCATGGTGATCTCCTCCCCAGTGGGGCCCAGTTTCGGTTTGGCTCTGTAGGCACTTAGTGAGTACCAAATACATGTGTGTTGCTTGAATTTCTTCAGGGGAATCTACAAACCATGGCTGCACCCAAGGCCTATCTGCAGGGCACAGCTGGGAGTCACTTGTCTCATTCAACTAAGATCTCTATATATAGTGTCTTAAGCAGCTATGACCTGGGGACAAAGAGGCTGCTTCATCAAAATATCAAGATAAAATGCCCAGGAACTATGGCTCACGCCTGTAGTCCCAGCTGCTCGGGAGGCTGAGGCGAGAGGATGCCTTGAACCCAAGAGGTTGAGGCTGCAGTGAGCTATGATGGCACCACTGCACTCCAGCCTGGGGGACAGAGCCAGACCCTGTCTCTAAGAAAGAAAAAAAAAATTTTTTAAGAAAAAAAGTTATATTTGAGTGGTGGAATTACAAGAGATTTTTAGTGTCTTTTTTATAGCTTTCTTCCATATTTTCTAATTTTTCTCCAGTGGGCATCTACTGCTTTTAAACCAACGAAAAAGCAATACAAGACTTTCAAAAATACAGAGCTGGTTGGGTGGGGAGGGCATCTGGGGAAGTGGTCCCAGCACAGTACATACCTGAGGGTCCTTGAGGCGGAACAAATCTGGCTTCAAGTAATAGATGATGCCCTGGTAGGCCCCGGGAAGGGTAACACCTCGGACCAGCAGAATGACAAGCATCAGGTAGGGAAACGTGGCTGTGAAATAAACCACCTGGAGGTGGGGGGCAGGCCAAGGTCACTCCTGGTGGGGACGCAGTGGCCCTCTAGCCACATCCCACAGGCAGTGCGAGTCACAGGGAGCTCAGTCCCAGCCTCAGAGACCGCTAAGAGGGGCTAAGCATGGGGAACTTTCCACACCTCCCTTTACACATTCCAACGGGTCCGTGCTCCCCACAGATGTGGGGATACACATCCTGTGAGACGCACGTCAGCACGGGAAGGGTGGGGAGGGGAGGAGGAAGAC